GGTTGTGTTGAAAGACATCGGACTGAGGGCCGTATCCGAAGGTGGCTTGGAAGGTGGCGAGCCATCTGTGGAGGGTGAGAGTTCAGGGGAGGGTTAGGCAGGCGGCAACGCTGCTCCTCCTTACCTGCAGGCATCACTAACCCGTGTAGTACCAGGTTAACCGCGGGAGTGCAGACTTATCCGAGGGCTGGAGAAGCAAGGAGTAAGACCGCAGATTGACTGGGTACGGCTGATCAGCGGCTGTTACTCAGTTATTTTTCGCAGTGCTGCTGCATAGATCATGGTTGGGGATGGCTCACGAATTGGGGTTGTGCCTGAACAACGTGTGAAAGAGAAATACAGTCCGCTGCGGGCTGAACACAGACTACAGCCGTGAGTGGTTGTCAACAGTGTACGAGTGGCCGCTGTTGCTGCAGGCTGTTGATGCGGGTGACTGTGATTGCTGATTGTTGACTATCGCCGGGGACTGCTGCTGCCCGCCGATTAGTGCTGTGTACCGCTGCATATTGCCGTAGGAGGTGGCCGATTGTTAGAGGCCGCGGGGCAGCGGGGATTGGGTAAAGGAGGTCATTGCTGTGAGATGGGCGCTCGTCAGGAGAGTTGGACTGACGTTTAGACTGCGGTTGGATCGAGCTGTTAAGCTTTGGACGCCATCGTGGGGTCCTCAGGCGATCCAAGATTACAAGGCCCTCTCTTGCGAGACTRAGAGCACCATTCTTGGATCTGAGAGTCTCACATTTTTCTCTTTCTATCCTTCTAACTCTAAGTCTGGTCCTGTTCAGAGAGGAAGGCGGCAGGCGGGATTACAACCCGTAGGACCGCGTCTAGACTCTATGGGGAGTCCACCCACCGATTGCGAAAGCTCTGCCAGAACCTAGGCGAGGTTCTGGAGGCAGGGAACCTTCAGGTAAATCATCTTCATCCGTACAGCCTACTACTACCCATGTTTGCCTATATTCCTGTAGTATGATTGCCGTATGCGTGTGTTGTCCCTATGATTTTTGTTTTCTCTTCAGGACCATTCAGAGTAACTAGAAAGAATGTGTGAGAGTGAAGCATAAGTTTCTACTTAATTCTGATTGAAAGCAGACTAAGGATGAACTGGGGGAAGGTGGGAGGAAGGTAGACTGCATGCGTTTGACCGGGTCGACCAAAGCCTGAGCATTGTTTCTACTGTGAATGGTTCAGAGCTATGTTTATTTGGCTGTTTTCTGAAAGACCAGGTATTGTTTTTAGTGTGAATGGTATGGTCGCTGTGTTTATTTGATTGTTTTTTGGGGAGCCAGGTATTGTTTGTATTGTGAATGGCCTGGCTGCCTTAATTAACTCTGAGGGTTTGCCTGATTGAAGGGGTTTAAATTCTTGTTTATTTTGAGGGAGGATTTTTGGTCCAAGGCTAAGCATTGTTTCCATGGTGAATGGTTTAGCCTGAAAACCACGCACATAAATTAAACTAAGTATAAAGGAAAGTACTTTATGTATATTTGCATGTGAAGTGGCAGCTGGGCATTGTTTCTACTTTGAATGGTCCAGCGTTAAGCCATATCATTAAGAAGAGAAAAAGAAAAATACAAAGTATAAATAGAAATAGCTGGGCAAACTGAACATTGTTTCTACTGTGAACGGTTCAGTCCCCTGCCCATATTTGCCCTTTCTTTTTAACAAAGTTAGAGAAATGTTAAAACTTTGGATATTAAACAACTCAGGGCGACTAGACATTGTTTCCATGACGAATGGCCTAGTCATCTGCCAAAAAGAAGAAAGAAGTAGTTGTGCAACCTGTTCGTGTATATCATAAAGACAAGTTGGACATTGTTTTCATGGTGAATGGTCCAACACTATATCTTATGTAAGATAGGTATAAGGATTCAAGAATTTGAAGATTCATTAACTATCTATATGGAATGAACTTGGGATGATGAGAGTACTTACACTTGTGGTTTGGTTTGCATTTGACTGGATGGGATAACTAGTTTGTTTGGGTTTCATTTTTATAGGTAGTTGCTTTAGTTGCTCGCCACGTGCTAGAGTCATAAGAGTTAGTGTCAATTCCTGCAATTTCTGTAATAACTTTTTTTTTTTTTTTTTTACTTAGGTCAATTCGTGCATTTTCTGAGATCTTTTCTTATACTTGGTTTTGTATAAATCTTGGCAAGCTACTTTTCCTACGGGAAGCGCTGCCGAAATTTCTACAAATCCAAGAAGTTAGTCAACTTTTGATTTGTCAGAGTTCAACTTGTCTTTTCTATATATCTGGCTTAGTTAAAATCTGGGAAGTCTCCTTTCCTAAAGGGAGTGCTGCTCAAATTTTTGCTAATTAAGGGAGTTAGGCAAAATTGAACTTTGGAAAGCCGAAGTTACTTTCAAAATCTGAACTTAGTCTTGTATAAATTTTGGAATAGCACTTTTCTAGAGGCAGTGCTGCCGAAATTTCTACAAGATTAAGGAGTTAGTTAAATTCAGTCTATAGTTGAGCTCGAGCTGTTGCTCGAGTTCATATCGGACTGAGTATAAATCTGGGAAGTCTCCCTTTCTAAAGGGAGTGCTGCCCAAATTTTCACTAATTTAGGGAGTTGGACAAAATTTGGTTTTCCAGAGTTAGAAATGATTTATATTTTTCATCTTTTGATTTATATAAATTCTGAACACGCACTTTTCCTACGGGAAGCGCTGCCGAAATTTTTCTTAGTTTAGAGGAGATAAATTATATTTTGACAGGTGCCGATTCAGGCAATCCACCTTGAATAGAGGAGTTTCTGCAGTTGGTCCACCTTTAGCTTAAGCACTGACTTAAAAGTAGACTTAAGTTTAACTTATAAGGAGATTTAGAGTAAGGATGGATTATGGAGTTGTATTCTCCATGTACTTATGATCCTAGCTTCGGGATTGGTCTGTCTTGTGTTACAGACCCTTTTTATCGTATTGATTCAGAATTTGGGCTAGATTCGGCCTAATCCCTTGAGGATCGTTTTCTGTTATCACAGATAACAGGTCGGTTGCCGATTCGTCGGTTTTCGACTCAATTTCAACTCTCCCTCCACACTCAACCTAAAAGGCTTTAGCCCTGGTGATTTCGTTGTTTTATTAAGGTTTCACGCGGACTTTTATTGAATGGTCATTTAACAAAGGTACTGAGTATTTCATTAATGTTGGTAAGAGAGGAGGTTTGAAGCTTGCATGGCTAAAGCGAGGGGTATGAGTGTCGAAGGTGGTTGGGGTTGACTCCGTGTAGTGTGTGGGCTGTTGATTTGGTTTGTTGATGTGATGACAGGTATGTGCTGTGAATCAGATTCTGGATTTGGTTGCCTACGATCACACATATACGTATTATTATGAGAGATCGCAGTGAGACCGTGAGAAGTGATCGTCACATACTTAACCCTTATATATATACATAGGTATACTTGGGATGAATGTTTGCATAGGGTTGAAAAGTCCCCATACTAAAATCCTACTCAGAAACTGAGGCTGAGGGGCGTAGGGGAGGCCTCTCCTTCTATTTTTGTTCTGACTTTTTGATGATTTTTCTTAGTCGGACGTTTGGTCCTGGGCCGGGATTCGCGGTCCTTGTGCAGGAGACCCCAAGCCCTAGGCTCTGTAGGGGAGGGGTTTTCCCTCGCGCAGAGCCTATTTGATTTGCCTACCGAGACACTCAGGTCGAGAGCCGGAGGTGCCGCGGCGGCTTCACGGCTGTTCCTTCAGTCGTGCAACGTCGTGAAGGGTTAGGCCCCCACGACACTTCGAGTTTGACACTTGAGTGTCATAAGCGGTATTCGGATCCACGATGGACCGCTTGATTATGGGCACTACATAGTACGCTATCATTGCGACTGCTTGAGTACGCTTGCATTGCGAGTCGATATGAGTAGGCTCTGCGTCCGCACGGTTTTATCCTAAGTCTCGCGCGGGACGCCTATTCGATTTCGCGTCGGAAAGTTATGGGTTGGCTACCGAGGGAGTAAGAGTGTTGTCGCGTTGTTTTTGTTGTGTCGTTTCGTATATGTTTGTTTTGTGTGCATGTGTGTTGGTAAAGTGGAGTGCGCGTGGTGTATGGGATGTCGTCCTAGTCGACCGACGACGAGTCGCGCTTGGGACCTCAGCCCCCTAAGATGTCGGTTCGCGTGCGGGTCCGATAGAGGCGTATTACCGCGCGTACCCTCTATGCTACAGCGAATGAGAAACGCCCTCGGCTGGTCCACCTCTGCGATTGCAACTGATAAGCTTTCGTACTGTGGACTGGTAGCTCGGCGGGGATACGCCCACCGAAGGGAGGTGACAACTCCCCTAAGGTGTAGGTAAGTCGTGCCTCGCGTAGGCCCTATCTTGTCATAGGGGCTCGCGAGAGGTATGGCTGGCGCACTCGGCCGGAGCGGCTTAAGGAAGCTCCACATGTATTGTCTGCGACGAAGGATTTAAACCAACTCCTGCGTGACGCGGTCGGGAGGATCCCGCGCTGCCCTGGTGCGTTGCCGGACCGATGCTCTCGACAGGTGGCGCCGTTGCCGGGGATAACGGAAAGCCTACCGTTGTCCCTGGTGGAACGACATCCGGGTAAGAGAAGTGAATAAGAAAAGGCATAAAGGAATAATGAGAGGGTAAACGAGAAATAATGAGTGACTAAGTGTAGGTGAGAAAGTTTACCTGCATGAGTTAGGGGAAATTATGAGGGGCGACTGTGCTAGTATTGAGTAAATTATGTAGTAAAAAGTTAGGTAAAGCAGGTGGAATAGGCCGGTCAAGGCGTAATGTTGAATAAGGGGGTATGCTTGTTTTCTTTCTCTTATCAGGAAGCTTGAAAAGAAGAGGCTGTCAAGATGCCTGAAACTGGCGGCGCATCGGGTGCACCCAAGAAGGGCTTGACACTCGACGATCTCATCGCGGCCATCGACCGGCATGAAAGGAATCCGAGCAATATCCCAAAGGTCGATACTTTCCATTTTTGAGGGGAAAGAGTCTCGGAATGGCTGGAGTGGGTGGAACAAGCTTTTGTTGGGCGGTCGGACATTGTAAAGTTCCAACGCATCCTTCAGTATGTCCTCCACAGCTACCACCAAGAGGTGAAGAAAGTCATAGATGCAGCCCAAGGCAGCTGGGAGAGGTTTAAGGAGGGGATGCAGAGGAAGTACCGCCTGGGAGACGGGTTGTTGACTACCGCGGAGCTTGAGGCGATGAACAAAGAGGATTTTACGACGATAGGGGCCTTTGTCGAAGAATTTAAGAAAAGGGCGCGGAAGGTCCATGGGATCTCGGAGGAAGCACAGTGCGCCATCTTTCTGGGGCTACTCACGGCGTCGGAGGCCGTCGAGTTGACGAGACATGGAGGAGGTAGCACCAAGCTCACCTGGGCCACCATTGACAGAGGGGTGGAAGTTGGGTGTCTGGACCAGGTGGAGCAACGTCAGGTACGCCTGCAAAGGCAGAAGAGAAAGGAAAGAGATGCGACCGCTTTTAGGACCCCGGGGGTAACAAGGATTGTTACAAACGTATTGGCACAGCTGGGGTATGTGACAGAGCCGGCGGTGCAAAGGAGGGTAGTGACGACTGTCAAAATGAAAGGAAAGGAGCCGGTGATAGAAGAGGCCGTTGAGGAAGAACTCTGGGAAGAGGAAGAACCGGTGCCGCAACACCTGACGAAGGCCCAGCGCAAAGTGCGTAACTTGGCGCAGGGCGGTCAGGGATCAGGAAAAGCGCAGGAGCCCCAGGCTTTGACAGCAACCCCTTCAAATGTAGCGGCTCCGTCATCTAGTACGGGCCCCTCGCAAGGAGGGGTGCCGTCCTACGGACAGTGGCCCTGGCCGGTGATCAATGCAATTGTGCCATGGGGAAGCCCGCAGCCAGTAGCCGGACCGCAAACAAGTATGCCACCACCCATCTACCCCGCAGCCCAGGCCCAGCCTGTGGCCCCGCCACCGTTGCCTACTCCCAGTTCACAGGGCAGTGTGGCAGGAGGTGGGAACCAGGGGCAGGGGAATCAAGGCAACGGAGGGAGGGGTGGAGGAAGGGGGCGAGGCAGGAATGGCGGGGGAATAGAAAGGCAATGGAATGGTCAAGGCCAGGGGTACCAAGGCCAAGGGAATTAAGGCCAGGGGTACCAAGGCCAAGGGAACCAGGGTCAGGGGTACCAAGGCGAAGGGAATCAAGGTCAGGGGTATCAAGGCCAGGGGGATCAGAGAAGTCAGGGGTATGGAAGACCCCGTTTTGACTGGAGAACAGCCATCTGTCAACATTGTGACCAGCAAGGTCACACTATAAGGTTCTGTAATATAAGACGGGAAGACGAGAGGAGCGGGCTGATTTCCTCCACTATGGATGAAAACATTTACAATCAGTTTGGGGAGGCCATTGACAGAAGGCTTGGGGGAGTGAGGGCCGAAGCCCAACGAAAAGCGGCGGTTGGGCCGCCACCCCCTGCCATGTTCAGGCTATGAGAGGAAAAGGAGGAACCACCGATTGGGGTGGAGGAAGTAGGGAGCAATGAGGAAGTGGCTCAAGGACTACAAGGAGGGAGTAAGAAGGAAGAGTCCGTAATCATTGAGCCAGATGACGAGAAGAAGGAGGAAAGGATGGAGCCTCCGTCCGTCTTATTTGGGAAGATGGAGGCCCTATTGGATAAGATGGGGAGGTACCAACAGAAATTGGTGGGCCTCTGCGAGGAAGTGAAGAGATGGAGATCTAACATCCCCAAGGTGTTCCTCTATGACTCCGGCCCGGAGTCAGCACCTGGGCGACCCGGAGTAAATGTAGTGGGGTCGTGCCCACAATCGGGAATGATGGGGAGGCCCCTCACCCCGCAGGCCCGGCTGACGCAGGCAGCACGAACGAGAAATCAAGCCAGAGCTAGCGCCAGCCAAGAACCTCCAAGGAGGGAGCCGGAACCAGGAAAGAGGAAAGAGGCCGTGGAAGTGGAGGATGACGATGATGAAGAGAAAGAAGACGAGAAGCTGCGCCAGGAAGAGGATCAGAGAGCGGAGCAGCGGGCAAGGAAAAAGGGAGCCAGGGGAAAGGCCGAGCCGATCATACATGACGGACCAACCAAAAAGAAAAAATACGCGGTTCGGTTGGAAGAGGGATTTGACGTAGAGAAAGTGATCGACCGACTGTTGGAGGGGCATAATGACCTCATGACCCTGAAGGAAATCCTAGCGTCAGGCCCGCGGCTCCACGATGAACTGAAGGGGAGATTGTTGCGGCGCTTGGTGCCCAATGTCCATCTGGGCACGATTCTGCCCAAGGAGGCAGAATGGGCGGAGTCAGGCACGAAGATGGATTGGAAGTGCGTGGCCTGCGGCACGGTAGATTTAGTGGTAAAAGGCTCCAAGTGTGCAGCAATGGTGGACACCGGGGCGAAAATGAATATCATCCGGGAGGTGGACGCGATCAGATTCGGGCTGGATATAGACCGTTCTGACTGCGGTATTCTGCACGGAGCCAGCTGCAAGGCCGTATTTTGTGGGTTAGCCTCGCATGTACTCATCGAGGTTGGAAAAGTGAAGGTCAAGGCTTGTTTCTTCATCATGCCGGACGTGGATCACGGAATCCTCCTAGGGAGGTCGTTCCTGAGCAGGACGGAGACCGTGATATTCAATAAGCATGACGGGACGTTAATCCTCCTCTTATGCGATCCTGCCTGCGGGAATTACGAAATAATTACCTGCAGGAACACCGAGCCAAGGAGTATAAGGAACCGGCCCAATCCAGGATCATTAACGATCGAGGAGTCGGAAGGGGAGCGCCGAAGGCTCCGGGCAGAGCCCGAAGCAGGAGAGAGGGTGGAAGCATTTTCCCTCAGCTTGTCAGATGTTGGGAAGGCTATGGACCTGGTGGCCGCGCATGAGATGGCAGATCCGGATGCCATCCAGGCCTTGAGGGAGGAAGTTCTGGAATGCCCCGAGGCAGGAAGGTTGGAGTTGGTATATCGGCTCCCAGACAGTGGAGGGCACCCCGCCCGCATCAGCGCAAACACAATTTGTAAATCGGTCTTTTTTAGGGGACGGCTCAAACAAGGTTCCCAAAGGCGGTACAAGACGGTAGACAAGAAGTACCGTCCGGTTCCCGTGCTCGTTACAGAGGACGAGGAAGCATATTATGAGAGGGAACGAGGCTTGATACGGCGAATGAGGGAGAGTGCTATAGCAGGGCCATGTCGTATCAACGAAGGGAACGAGGGGGAGTTGATTATAGGGGAACCCGACTTCCTACTGCCTCAAGAGCGAACATTGATGGTGAAATTAATGAAGAGGAGGCATCACTCCTATGAGTTTAGCGACGAGGAGCGTGGCAGACTGGATGTGGACAAGATACCTATGATCCGCATCCACACCGTGTCACACGAGCCTTAGAACATGAGAGGGGTGCAATATCCTAACCCTGACGAGGAAAAGGAGGTGGTGGACTACCTCGACGGCAAGATAAGTACACACGTCGCCGACTATTCTAGTGGACCGTATGCGTCCCCGTGGTTCTGCTTCATTAAGCTTAACGGGACGCTGCGATGGGTGCAAGATCTGCAGAGGTTAAATGTGGTGACCGTGCGAGATGCTGGAGGACTGCCAAATGCGGATGCTTTGTCGGAATCCTGTGCTGGAAGGCCTATAATTTCGCTTATAGACCTTTACTCAGGATACGATCAGTTTCCGGTCTACCCGTCGGATAGGCCGGTGACGGCTATGCATACGCCGCGAGGATTAATCCACATGAACGTGGCCCCTCAAGGGTGGACCAATGTGGTAGCAATGGTCCAACGGGCCATGATTCGGGTTATGCAGTCAGTCAACCCCCATATTACACAGCCATACATCGACGATTTGGCGGTGAAGGGGCCAGCAGTGAAGGAGAGCGATGAAGTCCCGCCAGGGGTAAGGCGCTTTGGTTGGGAGCATATCCAGGACCTCGAAAAAGTCATGAGCCTGCTCGAGGAGCATAACCTCACGGAGAGCGGGGCCAAATCCAGACACTGCATGAGGGAAGCGACTATGTTTGGGTTTGTCTATAGCGAGAAGGGTCGGAGGCCGGATGTGAAGAAAACGGACAAGGTTATTGAGTGGTCAGTCCCGTTCCACTCAGTAACTGATGTCAGAAGCTTCCTTGGTTCGTGTGGATTTTGGAGGGCCTTCGTCAAGAATTTTGCCGCTAAGACTGAACATCCGAGGAAGTTAGTTCGTCAGGACCAGGAATGGGTTTGGGGTGAAGAACAAGAAGAGGTGGTAGCCAGAATGAAGGAAGAATTTCGAGAAGGAGGGTTGGTGTTAGGAGCGCCAGATTATGACRCCACAGAGACGCGACCCTTCATTGTCGAAACGAATGCGGGGCCGACTCTTTTAGGGGGAGTTCTAATTCAGGCAGACATGGAAGGAAAGGAAACGCCCTTGCGATTTGAGAGCCGGACTCTCTGTATGACAGAGACGAACTACTCTCAGTTCGAGAGGGAGACCATTGCCGTCCTCCATTGTCTGCGAATCTTCCGAAACTACATCTTCGGCAAGAGGCTTATTTTGAGAGTGGATCCGACCGCCCTGGCCTACTCTCTAAGGAATTACGTTCCATCGGATCCGACGGTTGCCAGATAGTTGACGTACATCTGGATGTTCAATTTTGAATTGGAACGGACACCTGGCAGTAAGAACCGGGCAGACGGGCTGAGTAGGATCAACTGTGATAAACAGGAAGGGGAGGCGGTAGAGGATACGCCCCCAGTTGATGGATTTCTAGATCAGAAAGAAGATGTTCGTCTCCACATCAATAAGTGGTCGCCGCGAGTGCCCAACTGTGTAGGTTATCCTATTTGGCAAACGCCAAGTGGGTATGAACGGAGGGATGAGCTAGTCCTTAAGCCCTTTGAGGAAGAGGATCCCTGGGGTGGTAAGGATGTTCAGTGGATGATGGAGCTAGCGCTGGCCAGCTCGCATAGCCTGGTGGAGGATATGAGGACGATTGAGGAAGGACCAAGCCAGGTAGAACGGCATGAGGACCTGATGGGAGGAATGTATCTCCTCGTTAACACATTATTGCAGGAAAGCCTTGGCCAGTCAGGCTCGTTGAACCCGGCAGGGAATGTGGACGAAGTGTCCGAGAGTCAGGACGACGAGTTCGAGGAAGGGGAGATTAAGGAGGCTTTTCGTTCAGAGGAGTACGACGGGATCTACCTAGAGCTGAGGCTTCTTTTGTCTTGGGAAATGTGGCTAAGGGATGCAAGCGATAGAACTTAGAGGATGCTGCAGCGCCATTTAGTGCGAGACGGCCACCTTTTCGTGAGAAGAGAAGTGGGGAATCCCAGGAGAGTCGTCTGCGGTAGGAATCGTCAAATCAACGTTGTAGCAGCGCTTCATGATGGCATTGCAGGAGGGCATCGAGGGGTACAAGCCACGTATGCCAAGATAAGCGAGTTGTGCTACTGGGATGGGATGATGGACATGGTCGGAAAATTTTGCCGATCTTGCGTACCTTGCCAGGAGAGATCCCGTTTAAGGCAAGGCAAGCAGTTGCATCCAAGGCTAGAGCAAGAGGTGGGGGCCGTAGTGCATCTCGATCTACCTTTTATGCCGCTTGGGGATCAAGGCTATAACTATATCTTCGATGCGCGCGATAACCTGTCTGGGTTCGTAGACGGGCGTGCTATTCGCACAAGGACCGGTTTAGTCCTGGTGAGCTGCATCGAAGAGTACTATCTGCGCTACCCTTTCGTCAGGGAATTCGTAATGGACAGGGGATCGGAGTTTACCTGCCAGGAGGTGCAAGAATTGTTATCAAGGTATGGTGTAGCAGCCAACTACACCACGGCCGCGCACCCCCAAGCAAATGCTCCCGTGGAGAGAGGACATAGTACCATTACGAGTCTCCTGGCTAAGTGGACCGAAGGTAGGCCTAGTCAGTGGCCAAGGTACTTAAGGGCGACGTTTTTTCTCGAGAACATTACAGTAAAAAGATCCACCAAATATGCACCGGCGACACTATGGTATGAAAGGCACGTCACCTTCCCTATTGAGAACTTTCTTAAGACATGAAGGGACATGGCCCGGGACTGGGAAAGCTGCAGGGCGCATCTGAAAGAGGCCTTTCGATGACCAGAGCCCCCTCAGCCCAGAGTTGAGAGGCGTCAGAGGAGTCAGAGGCCGAGGGACCCTGAGCCTAAGGAGGCGAGACCGTCTCGAGGAGGACGGAAGACCCTAGCCAGGAGAGAGGAGGAGCCAGAGCCAGAGCCAGACGCTGAGGAGCGAGGGGTATGCCCTGAGTGTGGGTTGGGACCAGTGGAGTTCCATCGGTTCACCAAGGGTGGATTGAGGAGGTCGCCAGCACGCGCACAGGAGGGGCCGCCAGCATCTGAGGGGCCCTTGAAGGAATTGGAGACGCATTTGGATATCTCTCAGTGGAGGGCGTCGCCTCGGGGTGAGGAGCATGGAGAGCAGGCAGATGAGGTGCCCCGAGAGGAGGTGCCACGAGAGGAGGTGCCACAGGAGGAGGTGCCACGGTAGGAGATCCAGGGTACTCAGCGAGAGAGAGGGCTGGGCGATGAGGGGAGACGTGCGGGGAAGGAAGTGATAGAGGTTGGAGAGGACACGCCTCCANTCCAGGGTACTCAGCGAGAGAGAGGGCTGGGCGATGAGGGGAGACGTGCGGGGAAGGAAGTGATAGAGGTTGGAGAGGACACGCCTCCACAGACGCCAGCGGTGGGTTTGAGACTTGGGGATGCACCAGGGAGCACTCGCCAGGCGGGGGAGAGGTTGCAGAGAGAGGAGGCCCCATTACCTTTATCAGAAAAGACTCCTTCGCCAGAAGATAGGGCAGAAAGGAGGAGGGAGAGGGCAGCTGTAAGGAAAGAGGCCTTGACCCTRATTGACAGGCATCTAGCAGCTTATGCCCTGGAGCACCCAGACCTGGGGGAGCCAGCACCTGCAGAGCCACGCCAGGAGCCATGCCAGCCCGAGAAAGAGATGGAAGCGGAGATCCCAAAGAGGGTCGACCTCCGCACGAGGGAAAGGGCGCCAGTTGGAGAGACGGTTGAAGAAAAGAGGGCGAGAAGAACCAGGCGGATAGATGAGATATGGCAAGAGAGGCAGAGGTTGGAGGCAGCGAGGGAGCTTCCGGAGCAGCAACAGGAAAGGCAGAGATCGGAGGCAGCAGGAGCACTCCCAGGTAAGCCACCCATCGCGCCAGCTAAGGCCCCGGAGATCCCTGAGATGTGGAGGGACTTCTGGGAGCGAAGAGGAGAGGAGCTTCCCTCGCCAGTCAGAGCCGGGTTTGGGGTGGCCAGGAAGACGGAAGAGAGGTTAGATCGCAAAATCAAGTTCCTGGCCAAGACAACTTTTGACCGACACTTGTTATTGGAGAGCGATCTTGCAGGAAGGAAGATGAAGGAAGCAAGCCATGGAGTACGCCTGGAGGCTATGGAGGTGGTAATCCAGGAACTTAGGGCATTGGTGGCCAGCCAAGCAGCTATCATCGAGAGCCTGAGGCAGCAAACCCAGGGAAAGGTGGACAGGCCAGAGAGAAGCCGTCAGGGAGAGCAGAGGCAGCCAAGACAGGGATTGCCAAGACAGCCATCTCCGGCAGAGCCTCGCCAGGAGCCACCTATGGGGAGGATTATCCTGGAGCCAGATGAGGCGAGAGCCCAGAGACAGGCGGAGAGAGAGGCTCTGCCGCACAGGCGGAGAGAGAGGCATTCGAGTTCAGAGCCCCTACCGAGCTCGCGACACTGCCAGTAGCAGCATCGGGCGCAGTCGTACCTTTGGCAGTAGAGGAGGGGCTGCCACCGTCTAGCAGTGAAACGGCTTAGGGCTCAGCAGAAGGATCCATGGGCGTGCTCCTTAAGGCGGTGCATACTATGCAGGAGGAGGTGAGTTTGTTTTCACCCGAGCAGAGGATAGAGGAGCCTCTTGAGAGAGAGATGAGGATTGAGGCGGAGGGTGCCATCGGGGGCAGACTCCAGAGGATCGGAACACCGGAGTATGGACCAGAGGAGATTGAGGAGCAGCCCATGACAGCGCTAGGAGAGACACTCGAGAGGAGACCTCAAAGGTTGGACACGCCTGAGTACGTCCCAGCGATAAAGGATTTGAGGAGTAGACTGGGATCTTGGGCTACTGGATCTGGGTCAGGGGGACCGGTTCCTCGAATGGAGCATCAGGAGGTCGTTAGTACCGCAGCTCCTGGGACAGAGCAGTAGGGGGTTGTCAGTACCTTGGTAGGATCTCCTTCATCACCACCTCCTCAGCCCAAGAAGAAGAAGTTCAAGAGGAAGGTCGATCAACTATGTTTCTACTGCAAGAGGGACGTGCATCATGCTCTGGACTGTCTCGAGTTCCTTGAGGATAAGCCAACAGGGAAGGTCTCAGAGGTAGGAGGTAAGATGTATGATAGACAGGGTAGGATAGTAGAGAAGTCCGCAAATGGACTTAGGGCTCAGTTATATAGGCAAAACCAGGAGGAGTTGAGGAGGTAGGGCCGGTTTGTCTATATAAGTGGACGAGTATCTTGTGAGGCATCAGCTTAGATTCTGTGTGATACCCTCTTAGATTTAGAGAACCTTTTGATGATTGCTACTAGTCTAGATCTGAACTCTAGTGTTCCTACTGAGATGGGGTCTTGAGGATCAGGGTGATTTAGACGAGGCATGTACATATTTAGGTAACCTACGCCCTGGCCTTTGAGAGACAGATCTGACATGTATTCTAGGGGTAGTTGTCAGTGTGGGTTTGGTGTGGCTTGAGTTGAGTGAGCTATGATTTGGAGACACTTTCTGTGTGAGACATTTTATTCCCTGAGTGTATATTATGATGAGGTTTTATTTCAGGGTTTCTTATATGTGACGATCACTTGTCTCTCTCACATGTGTGGTTGTACTATGATGTATGATGAGTTTGTGTGGACAGTGTGTGAAAAGTATCTTATTTTGTCATGAGGACAGTGAATATGATTGTAAGCAAAACTGTCTACTCCTCGGTATACTTGTGCGACCTGCCCACGGGCAGCTGACAAGGCAGAGTATAAGGGGAGGAAGTACAGTCCGTTTGTGAAAAGTTGTGAGGATTTTAAAGATTTATGAGCCCTGGAGGCTCAAAAAGCTTACCATGTTGATTATTGATTGCTTAAGTTGTGATGAAGACCCATAAGATGGTCTCCCAGTGATGTTTTGTTTTATGATGAGAGCCCCTTGGATTTTTGAAAAAAATGATGTTTTTGTGATGATATGTGTTATGATGAGACCCCCTCGAGTTTTGAGGAGGGGAAGTTTGGTTTTATGGCGAAACCCCTCGTGATTTCTGGGAGAGGGAGTGTATTGTTTTATGGCGAGACCCCTCGTGATTTTTGGAAGAGGGGGTGTTTTGTTTATGATGAGAGTCCCTTTGGATTTTTTGAAAAAGGGGAATGGTTTATGGTTGGAAGACTCACCCTTAGAAGTGAGTAAATTGATTTATAGCATGACGAGTTGTTTGATGGGTGATAGAGTCTGACGGAAAGGGCCACCTTTGTTTGGAATGTTTGAGAAAGTCGCAATGAGTACAGAGCGAGAGACGTCTCAGGACGGGTCGCTGCTGGCTCTGATCAAGTCAGGGGTCACGGCCTGGTGGACCTAGCAGTGATTTTGTTTGTGAGCGTGCGAAGGATGTCATGCCTATTGTGGAAGGGTTGGTAAATGCCTTCGGACCCCTGCGTATCGCGTAGTGGACCTGTGATTTTGTTTTGCGACGCCCCGCCTAACCACATGTGCTAGTTCTGGGACATATTGAAGAAAGCCCAAGCTAACGGAAAATAAGTTAGTACCTTTGGGGCGTAACCCCATTGGATGGCTGCTAGCCGGCGCAACCTGGCTGCGGGACCGCGGGGTAAGAGTTGAAGGGGGGTGCCCGCCCGAGTGAAAATTACTCCGCGGGATAGTGATGATTGAAAATTTTTGGAGGAATCCWGATTGGATGCTTATCAGGAGAAAACCTATCRTTGCRTAACCAACGAGGGGTACTACCGTTAAATAACAATGCRGTGRGCCGTAGTCCTGGCCCGATCAGCSAGRCTATGGTGGGYCAAGGTGGAGACCTAGCCTTTTTGTACTAGACTGCAGAAAGGGCTGAGCGGATATTAAGTATAYATATCRTATGCTTATGTGTATTTGATTKCGAGAAWTTTTTTTGAGAAGGAAGGCGAGAGTGCCKTCAAAGGTCTCGATTAAGGCCCGCGTCCCTAGTTTTTGCCAGGACTAGGGACACCCAACRAGAAGCCGAAGGTTGTCTAGGACYAGGGAGAGGAYGATTGGRAAGGTCCTTGGAATTTATGCTGTYAGTGTCCTAATTTCTGGGCGGTAAGAGGCCWGGGTTAAAAACCTGGCAGCATATAGTTGTGSGGGCACAGTTCGATGGARGSCTCTACCCTGTGTTTGTCGGCTAATCGGATTGGCTCGTCTTTYGTCAGCATTTGGAGTCTGGATGAATTCATAGCTTTCTGATTTGGCGAAGCGACGGGGACGTCGCTTAATATGGTCCGGTAAGCTATCGGCGCGAATACTCTTACAAGGGTATCCGCCCTGGTTTTTGCAAGTGACAGAAAATAGTTTTGGTTTAAAAAAGTATATCGTGCTAAGCGCGGCTACGTATGTAACTTACGTTGACAGGAGGGTTGACTATAATAGAGAGTGCGTGGGCGCGCAGGTTTGAGGCGCGCGTGATTCTTTGCTGTTGTTGATCACAAAGTCGGCACGGACGTCGATCGTATTGTTTAATGATATTATTAATACCCTTTTATTTTTGATTAAGTAGGAACTGGGGATTTTCCCTTTGATTGGTGCATTGGCTAAGGCGAGCGCTTTGTGTGAGGACGACGACGACAACGGCGACAGTGTGACGTTTGTAGGTCTCGACACACGGAGGGGCGGGAGTGGCGGTTGTGGTACAACTTTGGTAAGTCGGTGCAGACGCTGGGCGACCGCGCGCAAGGTTGTAGGCGGAAATGAGGCTCAGGCCAATTTCTCTGGCCCTGAGCGCAGCGCCGCACCGCCTTATATGACACTTGGCGTGTATTGGTCTCAGTCTTGGGCATAGCCCT